TTTGGTCATGTCTGTTTTTTAAATCATTTTATTGGGGGCTCTTCCAGCTCTTGCCACAATCCATACATCCATCCATTGTGTCAAGTACATTTGTACATATGTTGCCATCATTATTTTCAAAACATTTCCTTTCTACTTGAGCCCTTGGTATCAGCTCCTCATTTTTTCCCTCCCTTTCCCACCCTCCCTCCTTCCCAAACCCTTGATAATTTATGAATTATTTTTTTCATGTCTTACACAACCATTGTCTCCCTTCACCCACTTTTCTGTTGTCCATCCCCCTGGGAGGGGGTTATATGTAGATTATTGTGATCGGTTCCCCCTTTCTCCCCCCACCTTCCCCTTACCCTCCTGGTAGTGCTACTCTACTCTTTATTGGTCCTGAGGAGTTTATCTGTCCTGGAGTCTCTGTTTCCAGCTCTGATATGTACCAGTATACATGCTCTGGTCTAGGTGGATTTGTAAGGCAGAATTTGAGTCATGATAGTCGGGGGGAGGAAGCATTAAAGAACTAGAGGAAAGTTGTAGGTTTCTTCAGTGCTATGCTGCACCCTGACTAGCTCATCTCTTCCTGTGACCCTTCTGTAAGGGGATGTGTTAAGACAGTTTCTACTCTGTCCTATTAGGAATAAGAAACGGGCAATATACTCAAATTGAGTGACATGATCAATCTGCATTTTAAGGTGATGCCTCTGGCAAAGGTGTTGAGACTAAACAGAACAAGACTATATGCAGGGAGACGAATTATGAAGCGAGTGTGGTCGTTTAGGTGAGAGAAAGCCATAATCTGAACCGAAGCGGGAGAAAATAAAAAGATATTGTCAAAACAAAATCAAACTTAATGTTACATATGGAATAAGTTTGTAAAAGAGTTGGCCTAAGTTCACTAGAATTTTAACAACTGATTAGGAAAGAACCTGTCATCACAAACATTCTCCCAGATCCAATAAAAATGTGTAAACAGTCCACTCTCAATTGGATTTCTCGCATTTCTGCACAACACTCGCTCCCATTGTCTTAGATGCTAATATAGTAAACAGCTTAAGGAGAGAGAATGTCTCCCTAGAGAGCAAAAATCAGGTTTACTGTTCGGTATACTCAAGATAAAGTCTCCTTGCAGGGCAAGGGGTCAAGAACGCTTGCTGTTCATTAAAAAGGTTTTGGTTTATCTGCAATACACCCCACTGAGTATTCAAGGGTCACCTGGCTCTCTATAGCACCCCAGAAGAGTCAGGGTTTGATTAAGTGGCACAACTCTACACAGTAGGTAATTGCCAGTGTTGTGAGTAATAAAGTCTTTTTATTCTGACCAAGGAGTCTCATGTCCTCTGTCAACATCCATGAAACTGTGGCAAGATAACCTGTCAGGTGCAAGAGGGGTAAAATCCCAGATCACTCACAATTTTTGACAGTTTTGGCAAAGAGGTTGGAATGCTGGTAGAAACAAGAATTTCCAGGAAAGGAAGGCAAGCCTAGTTAAAAGAACTTGAGAGACGTTCATAGGAATTGAAAGTACCATGGACTACTGAAAAGACAAACCGATGTGTCTCAAGAAATAAGGCCAGAGTGCCCTTAGAAGTAAGGTGGCTGTCCCCACCCACAGCCAGTCCTGGGCTGTGGGGCTCAGCTCAAGGGGAGTCCCTCTGGGACATGGGGGTACAGTGAATGGTATGACCCTTTGCTGGGCATGCCGACATAGGGTATGCTGCGCCCCTCTAGGGTTTTCCGTATGGGCTCCAATAAATTTCTTCCCTTTTGCTTTAAAATAAAAAAAAGAGGCAGTAAGATGGAATCCGTTGTTCCAGGATGCAAATGCAGCGTGCCAGCATGAAGAGGGGAGCCAGGGAAGGGGTCTGGGGGCCTGGCCCCAATCCCAGCTACATGGACAACTGCCCCTCCCCACAGAATTTACATTAAAGGACAGCACTGAGGCTACAGCTAGGGGAGAGGGACATGTCTGATCGGAGCACACGGGAGCAAATGAATGGAGAGGGAGAGAGGGTGGAGCACATCCTGGCCCACCAAGCCTGGAGGATAATATCCCTGCTCAAACAGCCAATGCAGAGGGGACCATATGGCTGATCCCACTATGAGACACAACGTCCTTCACTGACCCATGGCCCTACGGGGGACAACACTGGAGACTCAGTGTCGGGACTGGCCCGGTCTGATCCCACCACACCAAGGCAAACCACTAAGGGTGTGTGGCAGAGCAGCAGAGCAGGGAGCTCCCGAGAGTGTGCAAAGGACAGACTTAGGGGCCAGAGTGTGGTACCCCATCAGACTCAACAGGAGGACACTCCAAGGTCAAAAAATAGACTTTGATCTAGTTACAGGCTTTTCTTTCTTTTTCTTTTTTTTAATTAATTAATTATTGGGGGGTGGGGGGTCGGTGGTTTTCTTTGTCGTAGGTTTGTGTTCTTGTTCGTCGCTTTGTCTTGCTATGCCTTGTTTTTTGGTGCATATTATTATCTCTGCAGGTCTATCTAGATAAAACAGGCTGGATGAACAGTCTGGAGGAGAAAACAACAGGACCGATGGTTCCAGGGTGACATGGGAGAGAGGGAGGTGGGGGAAAAGAGGTGGGTGTTGACCAACCCAGGGACAAGTGAACCACAAGTGATCCAAAATTAGTGGCAAGGAGGGTGTGAAAGGCCTGGTAGGGATTCAGCAAGGGCAATGTAACCGAGAAGA